AAAATACTTGCCAGGATATTATCAATTTGTCTAATACCAGCTGCCTGAAAGAAACTTCCAGAGATACAGTGTGGTCTCAGACCCAACTGAAGTACAGGTGACATGATTTTCAGTGCAAGACAAATACAAGAGAAATTCAGAGATCAAAATCGCCCTCTATGCTAAATTACTTGGACTGCATGAATTATTTCTGAAGGGACTTTTCCGGCAAAACCAGAGATTATTGCTGAATGTCTCACAAATAAACTTCAATCATCTCCGAGAAAATTGTGGTATACGCTTGAGACTATTTTGGATATGTTTATATTGAAGTTACTTCTTGAATGAGCAGCTCATGACTTTAAAGGTGATGAATTTAACATTTTTATATCTATGGTTATGTTAGTTGTTTACAACACAGGTTCAAAATTTTTCTAAGTAATTTTCAACACTTTTATGCATAAAATAAGACAAAATAATGTTATGGGCCTCTTATTTGATAGTCCTTAACTACCCATAATTAATAAAACCGGCGAAAAGTACGACGATTTCAAATTACCAAGATATTTAAAGGTAACCTCAAAATATGTCTGAGACGTGCAGCACTTGCAATGCAACAGTCACTTTTAAGGAGCCCAAGACTAAAAGCAATGATGTTTTTGGCTACCCATGCGACAACTGTAAGAGAGTAATATGTCAAACATGTAGTGATATCACTGGACCCACAGAAATATGGGCTATAGTGCTCTCAAAGCGTTCCTTTCCGTTCTACTGCAAAGAATGCATGAGGAATGTCAAACAGATTTCAGGCTTAATGGATCGTGTATGTGAACTGGAAAGATGTGTAACAAACTGCAATCAAGCCTACCAGTCCTAGTACAGGAGTTAGTCGCTGCTGCCACTACCTCACTAAATGAAAGGGTAACCCACCTGGAATCCCTCGACTTGCAACTGGCGCCAGCCTTCCACAATGAGGCAATAACACCAACACTTGAATCTTCAAACATTGAAATATTGGCTGAACTGCATGATCGCCAAACCAGAGCTAACAACTTACTTTTTTTCAACATACCCGAGTCAGGCGATGATTATCAACAAGTATGCTCCGTACAAGAAATGCTACTGGACACACAATCCACTATTTGCAAAGTCACTCGTTTTGGCAGACCTAACGCCAAAAATGCTCGCCCCATAAGAGCGGTGCTGAACTCTGCCCTCGACGTAATTTCCACATTACGAAATGGCTACAAGCTCAAAGGTAAACACATATATTCGGCCTGACCTGATTTTCAATCAAAGAGAGCTTGAGAAGACTGCAACAGAAGATCTAAAAAAACAACGTGAACAGGGTGAGCAGAATATCCAGGTGCGAATGGTGAAAGGTATACCAAAAATTGTCCAAAAAAACACGTCACGGGGTCAACCACGACCAACATCAGACAAAGAAACGCCAGCAGAAAACAATTAAACCTTAACATATATTATCAAAATGTTCGCGGTATCAGAACCAAGTTGGAGCAGCTTCGTTACAGCATTGCAGTGCATAATTACCAGATAGTTTCTTTTACAGAGACAGGGCTAAGCGACCAATTTCATACAGGTGAGCTTGGGTTTGATTAATACAATGTTTTTCGTTGTGATAGATCAGCTACTTCAAGTACAGCAGATCGGTTTGGGGGTGTACTTATTGCAGTGCATGATTCTATTCCATCGCGTCTAATACGATCATCTGACGATATTGAACAAGTCTATGTTCTAGTAGGCTCAGGCAAAAAGCAAATGATAGTTGGTAGCCTATACATACCACCCAGCTCACCGATAGAAAAGTATGAAAGCTTTGGAAACAACCTCGAAGAAATATCTCAGCAGTGTAGCAATGCCAGTCTCTGCATAATGGGAGACTTCAATCTCCCAAAGGCCACATGGATGATGGAAGATCTCTGCTCATCAGCTCAACGTCCACAAGATGGCTACCTGCCTTCCGCCGAATCTGGTAAAATACAACTATTATCAGAGATCTGCTCATTTCACAACTTATACCAGATTAATGACATTCGAAACGTCATCGATGTCATTCTTGATCTGGTTTTATGTCACTCAAAGAGAAGATTACCTGCTACCACTGGACAACCACCTTCCACTATTGCATCTAAAATTTTATGTAAATCCAAAGCATAACAAGCCAAGTGCCCAGGGAGATGAATGCTACTATGACTTCAAATCAGCAAATTTCAATGACATCAATGAGTGCCTGTGACTCTTTTTATGGGATGATCTGTTTGCTGGGAGGACGGTTGAGGAGATGTTAAGACTGTTCTACGATATTTTATATAATACATTTGACATTTTTGTGCCAAAGAAAAAAAACTCTTGTAGGAAATTTCCAGTATGGTTCTCGCAAGACCTGAAATCACTCACAATACAAAAAAGAATTGCTCATAAAAAATTTAAGGTAAGCAAACTTCTCCGCGATTACCAAACATATTCTAATTTGCGATCTCAATGTAATTTTCTGTCAAAGCAGTGTCTTCAAAACTATATCGGGGAAACGGAGGCATCTCTTCGACACAATCCCAAGGCTTTCTGGTCATACACAAATTCCCTACAAAACTCCAGTAAACAACCATCCAGCTACACCTTAAACGAAAAATCAGCTCCTATGGGCCCTCAAGCAGCTGAACTCTTTGCCGAGTACTTCGGCTCAGTCTATACAGACAACTCTTTGGACTTGCTAAATCAACCCTCTTCAGGTCCCCTCAAGTAACCCCGCAATTTCGGATATCTACACTGAACCAAAAAATATTAAACCAAACAAAGGACCTGGACCTGATAAGGTACACCCACTGTTTCTAAAAAACTGCTGTTTTGTTCTATCTCAACCTCCGCATATGATTTTCAATAAATCACTGCAGGACGGATTATCTCCAGACTTCTGGAAATCAAGTTTCGTGGTACCCATTCACAATTCAGGTGATTTGGAAAATGTGACTAATTATCGCCCTATAAGTATCCTCAATGCTATTCCAAAAATATTTGAAAATATAGTCACAATATTCTTGACATCTTGCCTTGGACCTGCGATAATACACCAGCAGTTTGGCTTCAAAAAACACTCCTCTACCGAACTAAATCTCCTCACTCATGTGGACATCCTGACAGGCGCCTTGGAGAGAAGTGAAGAGATACACTCTATTTACACTGACCTCTCCAAGGCGTTTGACAGAGTGAACCACGAAGTAATAATTAAAGAACTGGAGACCTTCGGCTTGTCGGGTTCTCTCCTACAATGGATAAAGAGTTATATCACAAGCAGCACCCAAATAGTACACCTTAACAACTTTACATCCTCTCAAATCTCAGTATCATCAGGAGTCCCCCAGGGTTCCCATCTTGGCCCCTTACTATTTAACACTTTTATCAATGACATTTCATCTTGTTTTAAGCATAGTATCTTTCTTCTGTTTGCTGATGACTTGAAGCTGTTTCTGAAGGTATCCACTCCAGAAGACTCTTTAGCACTTCAAGAGGATCTAAACAGTTTGTCACAATGGTGCCATGCCTATGGCATGGATCTTAATGTTCTCAAATGCAAGGTCATTAAATTCCACAAGTCCAGAAATTTAAATAAATTTGTCTATTACATTGATGATAGTCCATTAGGCTGCGTGGAACAAATCAAAGACCTAGGTGTGCTATTAATCTCAAATCTAGATTTGTCAACTCATATTGACAACGCAATCAATAAGGCTTTACGCATGCTTGGCTTTGTGAAACGCAGCACAAGGGACTTCTCGACCATTAATGCCATTAGAACTTTATACTATTTCTATGTCAGATCGCATTTAGAGTATGCTGCTTCAGTGTGGTGTCCTAATTATGCATGCTATATCCATCGGATTGAAGCTGTTCAGAGAAAATTCTGCAGATACATTAACTACAAATTTTACGACAATAATGAATTTCATTATTCTGACTTATGCACATCATTAAACCTAACAACTCTCTCATGTAGAAGAAAGCAGAGAGACCTAATACTAATTCAAAAGCTCATAAACTCTAGAGTTGATTGTCCCTATTTAACTTCCAGAATTGGATTACATGTTCCATCCCGGAACACTCGTACCTACTACACAAACTTTTCATCAACAGTTTCACAGAACCAATTATGCTTATCATTCATTCATTTCTCGAACCCTCAGACTGTGCAATGAATTATCTGAATTAGATTTCTTTGGTCCTTGCGAACCATTTGTGCGAGCGGTCAAAGGCATAACCTTATAAAAACCCTATATAAAAATCATATAAAAATCTTATAAAAATCTAAAAAATATTGTTTCTTCTTTTTTCTTTTTTTTTTCTCTCATTTTTTAAAATTGTTAATAGCAGGATTGTCTTATACATTAGTTTGGTGGTTGATGGATGTTAACTTTAACTTTAAACTTTAACTTTATTTAATTTCTTTATTTTCTAGCTTTCTAATGTGGGTGGAAAAATTCAAATTCTTTTCTATTCCATTGTTTTGTTTTTATTATTTTCAAAATTTGATAATTTTAGAACTTGCTAATACTCAATTATATTGTGTAAATGGGCTTGACCCGTAAATAAATAAATAAATAAATAAATTTTTCTAGAGGAAGTTCTTCTAAAACTCTTATGGCTTATGACAAGTCTTAATTCCTTTTTTGAACTTTTCCCTTTTCTCCCATTGAATGATTATTGCATCTGGCAAACATGGATATAATCGGTTCGACGAAATAGAAGCAACAACTCAAATAGAAAAATAAGTATTAAAATTTCCTGTTCAAATTTCTATTCGGCATAAACTCTCTCTAGGACAAACATGCCCGTAATCCTTCTTCTTTAGCAAACAAAAAAAAAAAGATCCAACTCATTTCCTCAATTTCGAGAGAGATTTCGAGTTCCAAAGAGGCGCTTGCGTCACAACCCTCCAAAAACGGCGCGGAGGTTCTCCTGAATTTTCTCCGGGAGCCATGGCATCCAGTGAGCTTAGTCCGGTTACCGGAATCGGGACGTTTTGCCATCGAAACCCGACCTGTCTTCGAATCGATATGCCCGAGTGAAACAGTTTTACGTGAACTTGAAAAATCGAGTCTCGGAAAAATGTGGTTTTTTGTTTACTGAGAAAAAGCGTAAAAAATTTTTGACACATTTTTTTTTTTTGGCTTTATAATATTTAAAATTGTATATGAAAAAATATTTGAAGTTAGGGTAATTACAGATACTTGTTAATCAGTAATTATTTGGGAAAGTAAGTTGAGACAAAAAAAAAAAAATACAAACAATGTTATTAAAGTATTTTCTCAACAAAGTTTTAGGTGATTCAAATCAATCTTCTAACTCAATCTACCAACAATATTCCCAAAAGGCCTCGTTCATGTAATGACAAAGTTCGGTTCAATCAAGGCTATTTTTGCTACCACTTCAATCATCTTTAAAGTAGATATTGGCTCTTGGCCGACACAAGGATAAATATTTGATATCTGCTCCGCTAAACAGTAATATAAAAACATAAGCATTCGCTATACAATTGTAGCTTTTAAACTTTCTGAAAGAGATTTTGTTCCAATTCACAGGGTTTTCTCTTTAATTAACGCTAGCATTCTACTTAGCTTAATTGCTAGCCTTTAAAGCTATAGTGACAAAAGTAGAAATTAACAGAAATAGAACTTTTTTGTTTTTCTTTTATACAGTTTGATAATGGTAAAGAGTTTTCAAATAGTTTTATTAATCATTTTGCTCAGAATAATTTTGGCAATTTCCGTTTTGATACCAGCTTCTTTGATCAAATCTCTTTAATATTCTAGTAATTTCTCTTATAACCACAATTCAATTCTGTGTTCTTATAGGTTTATATGGTTGTTATCCCAAAAAGCCATCAGCCAAAAGGAAGGACGTGGATAAATATTTGATCTCCATGAAAAAGTTATAAAAAAATATCGTAAAAAGTTTCATTTTCTAGTCAGCGAACAATAGAATTCGTTTTTTATTGTCGACTATTTCGGGAACAAATGGACATCAGTCTTTTTTTTTTTTCAATTTTGAAACAAATTGTATTTCAGACTCGACACTTATTACTTATCGATGTTGGTTCTAATAGTCCATATTTAGAATTTATTTAGATGCGGAGTTGTTGGTTGGTAATAGGTCAATAAAACAGCTTAGATAATTAAATTGTTGTTGTATTGACCAACGTTTCGACCAATATGTGGTCTTCCTCAGGATCCTAAAATAGGTACATCATAGTGACAAGTTTTTACAAACAATAAACAGTATACAAAAATATTTCGAGAATCCAACCCCGTGCCACTTCGCGCTATACTGTGCGTGTGAGCATATGCTCAAGATACTTGAGTTCAAGCCAGAAAATGAGCGAATGCTCAGCTTGTGTTTATTTATACCATGCAACAGTATAAAAGCTCAGACTCTGCCCTCATACTCCGAGCATTTTCTCCGTGCTCAGACTCAAGTTTATTAATACCACCCATTATTTCAGCATTTTTATCATTATTATTGGGAACGTTGAAAAGTACCTTTTAATTTGTTATCAGGTGTGCTTACAGAGTATGTTGTAGTATGAGGTACTTAATCCATCAACATCCTGTTTTTTGTTGATACTTTTTTTGTCTTTTTTAATATGAATTATTTCACTCATTAGTCTCTTCTTTATATTTGTCTGCTTAGAAAGTATTTGAGTTTGATCAAAATTAAATAAATGATGAAAGTTCTCTACGTGTTCAACCAACGCCGTTTTATCTTTAGAGTTGATTATATTTATAAATTTCACACTCCGTTTATGCTCCCCTATCCTTGTCTTGAGATACCGACCTATCTGTCCCACATATGTACCGTCACAAGAGGAACAAGGTATTTTATAGGTAACGTTACTCTGTTGCTCCTGTGGAGTGGTTGTTTTAAGTTTCGTGAAAAGTTTAGATACCGTATTTTCATTTTTAAAAGCAATAATGGTGTCTTAATTCTTTTGCTATTTTTTCCGAGAGATGCTTAACATATGGAATTTTAAGATAGATCTTGCGAGATTTGTCATTGTTGTTTGTATTATTGTGGATGGGTCCAAAAAGTATTTTATTAAGTAAGCGATATGGATAAGTTTTGCCTAGGAGACATGCCCTGATATACATGAGATTTTTTGAATGGAATTCTGGGTGTGATAGTCTATGAATGAATGAATGACTTAATTGGGGGTTTGGCTACACTGCGACCTGCATAGATCTATTGTGTCCCCCTTCTTAGCGCTCCAGTTGATGGACTCTCGCTTAAAGCACCTCATCCAGCCTTAATGCTTTTATGAAAGCAAGTACTCTGGATGGTTCTATGGATGGAATTTCTTCCCGACCCACGATGTAGCATCCGAAGCAGGCCATTCGTGTATTCCTGATCGCCTCGCATTCCGTTAGAAGGTGTTCAGGAGTTTTCTCCCCTTCCTCACAGAACCGGCAGCTGTTCTCGTTTTCAATTTTAATTCTCTCAAGGTGCCCTCTCAACCGGCAGTGGCCTGTGAGGAATCCGGTGAGAATGCGGAGATTGTTTTTGCTTAGTGATGTGAAGCCTTTCGGTTTCCCTTGGTCAGGGTGCCCAAGAAACATCTTCGATTGCCTCAACCCTGGAAGTTGCTCCCAGAGATTGTTCCATTTGGTCCGCTCTTCCTTTCTGAAGGCTTCTTCATAGGTGTGTTTCCCTATGCCGCAGAAGGGTTCCGGTCCTGAAATCGGGGTCTGTGCCCCTAATTTCGCTAGTTGGTCCGCCTTCTCATTGCCTTCAATCCCTTCGTGTCCCGGTATCCACTGGAGGGATAGTCTGTTATCCTTGCCCAGTCTGTTTAACTTGTCCTGGCAATCCCAAACCATCCTGGAGCTGATTATTGGTGAGCTCAGCGCTTTAATGGCTGCTTGACTGTCGGAGAATATGATAATCTCTCTCTTTCTGTAGTTTCTGTCAAGATTGAACTCAGCACATCTACTTATAGCATTTATTTCCGCCTGAAATATGTCCGGGTATTTTCCCATTCTTTCGAAACCACGTGGCAGCTAGAGTCAAAGGCCTCTATTACTGCCTGGTTCACGAGCCCTACTTTCTCTTCCAGTTCTAGGTGATTTCCTATTCTTCCTGGGTTGATTGCTTTGAGATTTTCCTCCAGATTGACTCTGTATAATTCCCAGTTTGTCCTCCTAGGATTTCTCCTGAGTTTTGCTTTGGAGGTGCTTATTTCTAGGCTGAACTCTATGATCCTGTGATCAGACAGGGAGGGTTCAGTCGAGACCCTCCAGTTTTTCACGTAGTTCTTTATTTCAGAACTACCAAATGTAATGTCTAATACTTCCTCCCTAGCCCTTGTTACAAAAGTGGGTGTATTCCCTTTATTGTAAATATCAAAGTTCATTTCAAGTAAGTATTCAAAAAGTTACTCACCTCTGGTGTTGGTGTTTAAGCTTCCCCAGAAGATGTGGTGTGCATTCGCGTCGCCTCCCACAAGGAGTGGGATGTTTTTCCCCCTACAGTGGTGCGTAAGCTCCTGTAGTTCCGCCGGGGGCGTGCGTGCCCCATCCCCAGCGAATTATGCGGATGCTATGACAATGGTCCGTTGTCTGCCTTGGTGGTGGAAATTCACCATAATCGGCACTAGGTTCTTGTTCAAGAATTCTGAAACACAAATATAATTAATATGTCTTTTAATTACTATGCAGGCTCTAGGCATTTCGTGCCTGTCGTCCCATATTACCTTTGAGCTTTTTGTTGTCAGTCCTTTTACCTGTCCCCTGTAAACCCATGGTTCTTGGATCAGCGCAAGTTTCACACGCCCTTGCCCAAACAGCCTCGCAATCATAGCAGAGGATCCTCTGGCGTGATGTAGGTTGACTTGGGCTACCATGGTGGCTGTGTTGTCCATCAGGTTAGTTACTAGGACTGAGATGAGGTGTCGTTGCCCTCACCGTGACGATCTGTCTCGTCCCTTAGTAACTCTCCCTCTTCTTCCGTGGGAAGCTCGTTCTCTGAGCCCTCAGCCCCGATGTTCTCTGGGTTGGGCTCGCTCACCATCGGCTCCGGTGCCTCTTTCCTTTTGGGGGAACTTGTATTCCCGGAGGTTGGGGTTGGCTCTTCCTGAGGGGATGGTGGATCTGTTTCCATCCTTTCCTCTGGCTCAGTTTGTTTTTCGCCTTTCTCCAGGCCATGCACCGTGACGCGTCCAAACCTGTAGTGCATGGAGTGGTTTTGCGCCACGATCGCTTCGCTCGACTTGGTGTCTATGCCCAAGGTTAGCAGCTGACCATGCGATTGCTCCTTTGAGCTAATCACCTTCCACGCCTCTGTCCTGAGGTCGGCATTTTGGGTTTTTAGGAGCTTGAGGAGTTTCTCAGCTTCTTGCCCTTTGCTCCTGGGAAGGAAGACCGCTATGGTGTGTGCTTTCGGGATGTTTTCTCCCGTGCACACAATTAGATCCGGCCCCTTCCATTCTTTCAGCCGGGGTACCGTTTCCCTCAGCCAGATGACTGTTTGCTCATTTTCGCAGTCCACCATTATCAGTCCTGACGTGAAATGGATTCCTGTGAACTTCAGGTTAACTACCGTGCTGGTGAACATTTCATCAACCAGAGCACTCTCTAGGTCTGTCAGCTGTTCCGTGGTTAGTGTGACCTCGGGGTATTCCCTCGGAACGATTCCCATTCGGACGCTTTTTACCACCGCCGCGTAGCTGGTGCTAGGCCCTGCTGCCGTTGCTGTTGCTTTAGAGGGGTATATTTTCCTCTTCTTTCTGCTTGGTCCTTGAAGGGGTGTGATGTGCTCACTTCCCCTCTTGACCTCTTTGCTGTCCTCCACCTTGGACGAGGATGCAGAATCAGGAGTCAGCGTTTGTTGCTTCAGCCTCTCTTCTTTCTCCTTGTCTACCCTTTCCCTGGCTGAATAGTGTGATAGTCTAAGAGCTCTATCTTTTAAGTTTTGAATTATGTTAAGTTTTTGTGTGAATGTACGATTCGAGTTATAATTTAGAAACCTCTCGGAAAAAGTTGGTTTAAGGTACCAGTCAGTCATTATACGGTTAGTTTCAGTTCCTATTAATAACACATCAAGAAAAGGTATCGTGTTATTTTTTTCCTTTTCCACAGTAAATTGT